AACTAATGCTTTTTCACGTAATGTCTAATGTTTTCAAGCGACCTCGGAGCAATCCCTTCTAGATTAAATGCAGTTTGAGCGATAAGGGCGCAACCCTGTTTAATGATCAATTACACAATAACAAAAACACACCTCAGGATACGTTCAGTAACGACACGATGACAAGTGTAAACGAAAATAAAAACAGGTTTATTATATTTAAAAATCTGTTTTATAGAACGTTGGGCTGACATTGTTAAGGCTTAACTGGTCGGGAATGAACAGAACCCAATTATCGATCATCGTCACAATGTCAGTTAGCTAACGGTACAACAAGGAGACAAATAAAATAATTTGTGTCGGCGATCCTTTTGTGCTTTAGGGACCCGACATTTTCCGTTTTCCCCGCCTTTATCAAACTGTGCCTATAACGCGAATGACTCAAAGGACACGCCGCCATGCACTGACAATTACGTTCCTCAAACGCCTTTGTGTCATTGCGGTTACAGTGCCATAGCGTTTGTCCCTTTGAAGCCTACCAGTAGACGAATGGAGCCAATGAGTTGGGCTGTTGTACCCTAACTTGGGTAGAACTCTCCTTCCGTCTCCGCTTTCCGCCAAATCGTCCTCGCCGTTACGGACTGATTGACTAAGCAATATCAGTACTGTTATTTACGTTACAGTTAGGTCTCGTAGTGAATTCGCGCTTGTCGGTACTTTTAGGATTACTCATTGTGTATTGACCGGTAACTAAAGTCAACTATCCGACTGACGCTAATAACAGCTATCTATACGTTTTGGTGGCTGGGTGCCTCCGGCGCGACCCAGTCAAAAACGAGATGAACAAACAGGTCGAAATAGTTGGCCGTAGAGTAGAAGATTAACGCTCTCATCTGGCCACAGCACAGCGGCATATCACTAGGCGCAAATTGCACACAGCCTTCTTTTAGGTAGGTTTTTGCTAAGTCGTCTGTAATATTCATAAGAAGGAAGCAGAGTAATGCAGCGTCCTCTGGCTGGCGCGCCGGGCTATACGAAAGTATAGCAGAGAGAAATCATTTGATTCCCGTATGCGCTCCCTCGTTTTATGGAACAGGTCTGCATGGATGCTAATATAGATCATGGATGAGCCCAGGGAAATTTTCCATTAAACGCTGATCTACCGAGCAGGTTACAGGAACTACTTACCCGGTTAGGAATTACATACAATGATGTGGGGTTGCAATCCAACATCTAGTTTAGATCACGCGGACACTTTTACTTGGATGACATATAGGCTAGCCATGCGTAATGTTGCATCCTCCAACAATTTAATACAGATGATTAGAGAATTTCGTCTTGGGCTTGAATAGAAACAGACACGCAAGTAGCGTTATCATTATCATTAAAACCTAATTCATTTATTATCCTCTATTAGTCCGCACATTTTCGGTGGTCAGAGAGTTTTTATGAAGCCTTTCGGAAAACTGAAGGCACCGACTCACTCGAACAAGACTGCATGGGGCGTCTGCATATCCTTTAATTATTCTTCTGTTGATATATTTATGGACGCTATTACAGCCTGTTTTTTACAACCTGTAACTACCGCTATTGGTGATTGCTTCCTTTACGTCGTTACATTAGAAAAGCAGTAATGGATTATTGATAGGATTACGTACCAGTCAACAGCAGAACCTTTGGCACTTCTCAGTAACTATATATAATATAAAAACGTGACAATTTTAAAATTATTGTGTTCTTGCTAGCGATGTTCCGTAATAACAGTCAACCTTGGTTTCCAGTAGCCCCTCTCTAACGCTGTGCCTAAGAGCTTTTGAAAACATAGAGGAGCCACTTGAATCGCTTTGTGGAAATGGGTGGCTTCCTTCGGGTAAGTGAGTCCACTGACAAAACACTTCATAGTCAAACAGTAGAAGTATTGTTCTCTTGAATCTTGGCCGATAGAACCGTTTTAGGTGCTTTTTGTCCGAGACCTTTGTAAACGAATTGTAAAATTCTAGTTAGCCAACTTTAAAATTAAAAGAAAATCTGCTCACCACGCAGACTGTTACTTTCAATTAATGTCTAATCATGTTCAAAAAGTATAGAAGCTTATGACTCACTAATAGGGTTGCCTTGCCGAGTAAAGATCTAGTCACCAAACGGCCAAAAATTGAGCGTATAACATATGAACTACCCTTCTGCGTAACAAGCGAAACGCTAGTTAACCGATTCATTCTCCTTGTTGTCCTGGGATCCCCCCTCCCCTCCCCCGCATCTCGTGCTATCGGGGGATTTTCGTCGTCAGCCGTAAGTATCGCAGAGGGACTACTCTCGCTCTTTGACCCGACATAACCACCACAATGGAAAATGTAATCTGCCACCTAATGGCGCCATTGGTGGGAAGGTGATAATGAACAAAAACTTTGACCTTTTATTGTTGCTGTCCTGTTTGCAATATTTAGCAGCGGTAAGGACAACGATCATCATCTTTTGTCCTCGTTTTGTCGGTTGCTGCTGAAAGGGGCCTAGAACAAAAGGCGCACTTTCCACAATAGGCGGCACTAAGCTTACCAGCTTAATCTTTGCCACTGTATAAGTTCAGTAGAATTGGAGAAAAAAAAATCAAAGATAAGATTGGGCGGTAATCTCGCCTCGGGTTAAACAGCTGGAGGCAGACTAGTCCCAGGAGACATAGGGCCAGTCTGGGCATGTACGAATTTGCAAATGGCTAATGTACGTAAGCGACCATAGATGAAACGGATAGAACGGAAAGTCCACAGCATCTACTAATCGTTGCCACGACACATTTGCTTTTTTGCAGTTCGAAGTGTTTATCGATTGGTGATATCGACAACTCGCCCGATATCTGATAGTATTTAATAATCACGGCCAGCGGTTCCCAATTCGCGCGGCATTCGGTAAGGTACTAGATTGCAGGTCGAGAGTAGCGGACAACGGCCAATCGACTGTTTTCTAGCTGATCGCCAGGTTTTCCCGTGAAAGCCTATGCACTTTTGGAGAGAAAGCGTCTAGTGGTTCGCAGTTCATAGCAAGTACCAAAATTAAGAACGACACTGTTGAGCGTCCACAATTCCTGCAAGTAACATAGTCGCAACGAGAGAACCCTATTTTGGTTCTATTATGCAAAGACACGACGCTCAGTGGTGGCATCAAATACCTCGTGCTATGACGTTTCCACTGACCCTTCTACTATGTCTCACCGGCATTCATTCGTGTTTAGGCTACCCTCGTCCTAGTCCATTTAATAGGCCTCACACTAGGAATAGTCATGTTTCTACCGAACCAGCAAACTGAATATATGCCCATTAGTCCGTTGTGAATACATTCTTGCTTGAAATCTGTGCCGCCTTCAGATACTCTATCAGATTAGTTCTTGCAGTTTGATTAATGTGCACCACATCGTACCCAAGAAGCTCGTACCGCGATCTGTCATCGTAGCTGACTATTATACCAGTATGTGAATTGATGGCATTAGTGTGTGGAAACTCTTAGAAAAAATGCATCCATTCAAATGCTTGTTCTGCTACGGCCAAAAACTATGTTGAGTTGAGCTTTTTTTTTCGCTTCTTATATAAGAGCATTTACGGTAGCCTTAGAGAACTACGTATAAATGTTTGGTTGTTGTTTATAGAATACGACAATACCAAATTTTCCAAGCGGGGTCGCGATAGCCATTCGTTGACTAGCAGGAATGGGCACTTCACCGTCACTCGTCGTGCATTCGTCGTAGAGTAGTTCACATTACGCTTCGGCCAGACTTATACGGCGGGATTACCTCACCTTGCGACCAGTCTTCTCTAGCGCTCAGAGATCTTGCGTTCTACTCGTTTGCGTGTCGGACGGAATTCCGCTATTTCCGAGATCGGCCAGTGGGTTTTTACGATTTTCAGCTTTCAACGCGATCGAAGGTGCCAAAAACAGTCGGCGGCGACGGTTGCCGCGTTAGTATTCGTAGCAACCGCGGCTGTTGCCTTTGTCCACCTCTTTTCAACAAAGTATTTGCAGATCCATAGCCCATTGAGTAGAAAGAAACGTACCTCTGCGGCTTTCTTCCGTAAGCTGGCGCCCGCGTGCGTACGCACGCGTCCCAGTCTAAATTCCTCTCTCCAGAGAGTACGGTGGCGTTAAACGATAAACAGATAATTCCGACGGCAGTTAAGATTAATGCTGATGGTTCGGCTGTGATCTGGAGTACAGAACGCAAATTTAAGCGAATCCGACCGAATATGCTCTGTTTAAGCAGGAAGCTGTCTTTTTACCTGCAATACAGTGATATTCTCATGGAGGTTCCAGGCGACCGAGCGGGTACCCCTGTCATCGAGCTGGATGATGCTCAGGTAATGTGAGATCAGCTTAGTTCACTAGGGCCGCTACTGCCTGTAAGTACTGGACTTTTAGGCTGGCGTATAGTCTTGAAATACCATAAATAAACGCTATATGAAATCACCCTCACCGCGATGAGGAAATGTTTATATAGTTGTTCTTCGAATGTTGCCTAAACTCGAATTTCACATCTAGCTCTTCTACTAGGGACTATTAGGCACCATAAACTTTTTGAACGTCTCATCAGCTTCCTTGTAGTGGCAGAAGAATTTCCACGGCGAGCTTGTTTCTCCCGTAGAAAAGCCTTCGTAAAGCCTCACCTTGAAGCTTTCCCATGTCTCATCTGCACTCATCTGAAGATCAAACCAAGCCATGTAACTGTCTACGCACCCGTTTTACGACGTAGTCCGATGGCCACTTCCGTTCTTTCACGAGCGGCTCGTACTCCTCAGCTCACCGCTGGGGCTTCCTCTCGTCGTGCACTACCGGGGACGATTTTTGATTAGCCATCCGTTGGAGTAACTCTTTCGGAATTTCAGCCATATCATCAGTCATCCCACCGCTACTACTAAAACACAACGAATTAGTTTAACTCTATCGTTGGCTAACAGAAACACGCACTTTGCAATTTTATTGTTGTAGACGTCTACTTGTCTATTGATTTATATTATAATGCTTGCATCATTATAAAACAGATATGTCATATATCATTAAACCATAAATACATAAAACAGTATATACATATATATTCTGTTTTCTGTATTATCTAGAGGCATGACTTTTAGCTGTTTCTTTCTTTTGCGTTCATGAACTATTCGATTTATAAAGCCTGTGCATACATTACCGATGATATTTGCCTTCAGACTGCGCGACATCGTTGCCCTTTACCGATCGACAGAGCGAACCCAGAACCTAGCTCAACCTTGCTGGTTTCATGATACGTTTTTTTGTCATTATAAAAATTCAAGTATGAGCTTATAGGAGAAGTACTGATTCAACTATGAGCAAAATAAGTGAGGTATTGACTATATTTGGCAGCCAGTACCGATAGCGCCGAGTACGTCATAACTGCATCCATATCCTATTACACTCTAAGAAAGAAATGAAAAAAAAACCTACAAAATATCAGAGTTTTCCGTCACACCAGCCAAACTCACTGTTTTTTTTGTGTGTGCGAGGCACGTAAGGTACCCGAGTTTGCGCTACTTCTCAAATGCTAAATATACGGACTGTTAGTTGATACGATTTATTCTAAAGTATGGACCTCGGCGATCAACCACTAATATGTGGCAGCGCTGCCATGTCGCACCATGGGACGACTACCTATTTTCATTCCTACGCCATGTACACAGGCCTATTTATTTGTTCCTTTATCAAGTTAAACTGCGTATACGGATGCTTAAAACATAGGACATATATGAACTTGCTTGTTAGTTTCGATTAACTCGGCTTGTTGGACATGTCCAGACTATCTAAAACTGGGCAATTAGTGATAAGTAAACGCTATTCGCCCCTAGATACTGCTACAAGGTATCGTGACCATTGCTAAAGTCCTGATTAGTGCTTTGCGCTTAGCTGACTTCTTCCGCGCCTCTTTTGGAATCCCTAACAATGATTGGCCATTACCTATAAGCGGGTCACCACGCCGCTTCGGCTTTATGTCCCCAAAGCTTTATCAAGGTTTGATGAGTTTTTCCAATGTGCAGCTCAGTTTTTATCATTAAGCCGATGTTATCAAATGTATAACAACGGCGTTAACTATTGCCTTCAGCAGTATCTATTCCGTTCATTACCCTTTTTTACTTCATCGATTCTTAGAGACTTGGGTCGTAACCCAGCTGATCGGTGCCGTGTCCACAGTAAGTTGCCAGAAACCGTCTTCCTTTAGCATTTTCGTTACTGCCCACTGGATATGCTGTCGTCGTAGTTCCATTTATAATACTTTTGTCGTTGCCGCCAAAGCCTGCTCAGGCTCACTTGGTCGTATCAAATGATCATCACACGTCACACATACAAATACGTGCATCTATGGTAACGTATGGCCACTGTGGCCTAACTGTAGGCCAACAGTCAATACGGCCGGTGGTGACTACCGGCACATAGAAGTGCTACAGCAACGCAGCACACCGGCACTGCGGATCGTTGCAGCCATGACCGCACCTCCTACTGCTGGATAACGCCGTCACCATCCTCATTGGCCGATCGACATGTTCGGCCCTTTCCCACCAGGGATTAGCGGGCGAGGACGGCGTAGCAGGCGGGGCTTCAGTAGCAGCGGAAGGTTTTATTTCGATCAGTGGCCGAGTGACTTCTGGTTCAGTAGTTGACGACGCGAGCTACTGTGTGCACCCTCATTGGCGCAGTAACACGTAAACAGATCACACTCACCGGCAGCATTTGACGCAATAGCTTGTCCATCGGCTGCGAGTCCTGAGCGCTGTCAGACTCAGCTAGAAGCTGCTGTCTGCCAATTCTCCACCCGAGACAAACAGAGAAACGGAAGACGACAAGTACAAGCGTAGACTGTTATAGAGAAGGACACGCGTCACGATAGGTCCAAGAGTCGCTTAGTGTAGTAGCGACACACGAAAAGACACTACGGTGAAAGTGAGTGAAATTTGTGCACGAAAGACACGTATTGTTTGAAATAACGTGAGGACTATGTTGTTACAACACGTTCCCAGTAGTCAGTCGGCTACCGGAGGTCAACAGGATGGTAAGCTGTTCTTTCGATTAATTCGACTAAAACGAGTCCATTAGACAGGAGATCATATATATTGTGGTTAACAGAGAGGCCCAATGTACGTCATGTTTATAGCTATGCGCCTTATACCTACAGATAGCGCCTTGAGAATGTCTGTTTAGGAAATCCATTCACTGACCCTTAAACGCCAGTTAATTTAGCTTTACGTACATAATAATCTCGACTAAGTAACTGGTGATCAGATCAGCCTTCTGTCTCGTTACTAGATGTCTTAGACCGAAAAACTTGTTCTTGGCTCTCTTTTCTCTTACAACCTCATTTGATTACTGAACTTCATTACAAACACCACCATGAATTGTATCCGCGCTGACGACAATAGATAACCAATGTCGTGGCGGCCGTAAACGCACACCAAGCGTATCGTTGCCAGCCCGAAGATCCCTTTTCATTAATCTACCTTACCGCGGTTATAAAAATTCGAGATTATTTGGCGTTATAGTATTTTTATTATCGTCACTTTGGTCTGTACTTCGATGATTCTATTATATCTCAGAGTTGCGATCTCGCTCAACGTAGAAGAATTTATACGTTCTTCGCAGAATCGTCGGTTTTTGCGAACTCATTTACTGGCGGTAACGACGCGCTGCCGCCGCCGCCGCCGCCGTCGCCGTCGCCGTCGCCGTCGCCACCGCTTTGAATCGAAGAGACAAAATAGATCGAAAAAAGGGCGACCTCCTCTTCTGACAAAACCTGAGCGCAGCGATTGATACAGTGAGGGAGAGAGAGACTGTGTTATCGATAGATCGCTATGGGTTTTCGGTATGAGTTCTTATTTATTTCCCATTTAGCTTCGTGACAGCTTAAGCAACGGCGCACAAATACTCTGCTCTTTGTCAATGTGCGATTCGTTGGAAATCAAGGAAAAAAGACCAAAGAAGCGTCGTCAGTGTCCCGAAGTATTGCAGCGCCGGCTCTTCAGCACCGATGCTGCCTTAGTCGATGACTCCAAGTATTACGTCAACTGCTTCTGTTGTCACCAACAACGCGTTTGATTCGTGCCGACAGGTCGAATGAATCGTGATGTTGGAACGGCACAGTATGGCAATTCTGCCGCTATACGCAGTATAAATATACCTGATCCTCCTAAATTCGAAGTTGTGCCGGTTCGCCTACAAGCAATTAAGTACGTATGCTTTATTTCGATTCCCTGTTTCCAACTGGTCTGTGCTAAATCCATCCTTATCTGCATTCCATTCAGCCTAAACAGGACAAGTGGCAATCTATCTATGGTAAAGTCGGAGTGCTTCCTTGGACGGCAACGCAGACAGCGACAAAGGAAGCACAAATAAGCGAAATATTGATGACCAGATCAAAAATGTGCATATAGCAGCAGTCATTCAGTATCTCAGATTTATGCAGCGCTCTTTGGCATCTGCTGTCATTGTCACTTACTATAGTAACTGGTTTAGTTGTTTTTCATAGCCGCCCTATTTGACTTTTCCTTTCAATATCATACATCGTTCGTCTCCGCCTTGCCTCCCACCTTTCGAGACCTGAACAGCAACAGCAGCCTTTATGGCGGTGCTATACCGCCAGAGGGAGGCGGCACGGGACGATGTCAGCGAGTTGTACAACATCCGGTTCGTGTGCGGTAGGCGTCGATTTCTGCCTCACCCCCGAGCCCTTCTCTCCGTCTATCTAGGCAGTTATTCGCGTTGTTTGACCGTCCACCCACTTGATTTGCGGTTATGACATCGCTTTGTCTTTGTTCTGCTCCTGGCGACACCACGTTGGTGGCCGTGGCCCTTATCGTTTAAGAAAACGTACGGCCAGACGTCAGTACACGAGTTCTTCGACTGCCTACTTTCGTTTTATGTGTTCATGCCGGCTATTGACAGTTATAATGGCTTGCATAAATGGATCGCTAAACAGACCGTTGTTAGAAACGTTGCAGTCCTCCTTGTCTTGCAAAAAACTATTTTAGCAGTAATTATTTATTGAGCACTTTTCCAAACATGGCAGGTTCTGCCGGTCCAATTGGCATAGCTGCCCCGTTTGCTAGCTAGACAAAAAAACTCCAGCTGGGCATGTTATTCAATGCAGGTAGCCCTCTCTACCTATATAAATGATGTCCTCCTGCCAGACAATGTTTGGTTAAATTAATTAAGCACTGGCGCGTAGTTTGTTTAAATCGGAACCACTGCGTGTATGCGGGGAGCAGATTCGTATATATTGTACCCGTCGTTGTGATAATCTTAAAGCCAGTATGGAGATCCATTACGTCGAGTGAGCAGCTGCTGCTACCTGTAAAAATAAGCGCTCGGCAGAATACGTCAATCTACGCCTTGCCGGACACCCCGCCGCGTGGCGCGCTTTACCTGCGTGAAGTGGCTGTGTATCAACAGTCATTCTCTCGCTCCCTGTCTCTCCTTGTATCGGTGTTTTCTTCGTTGGTGACTGAGTAAAAGCGCTCATCAAGCTGATTCCGTCCAATGCTTTCGTGGCCGATCGTTCTACCGTTGTTCAGCTCAGCTATATAGTAATACGTCAGTAGCACTAATGCCACTGCTACCACAACTTGTCTAAGTGCAACTGGACGGCCGTCGTCGTCGTCGTCGTCGTTCAATTTTGTCTTGATCCAGTCTGGGCCACATAGCCGCTGTTTGTCCTTCATCCGTCCGCTTGTTCGCAAAACGGCTGTTTCGTGGTCCGTCTTTGCGCCTAGCTCGGTGGACGACGGTGGCGATTATGTAAATCTAATGACGGTGATCGCCTACCGACGGCAGAAATGGCAGCTTTAACGTACACAGAAGTTTGCTCATACACCGGCAGACTGGTTGTGGTAATGGTAGACATACGGAGACGACAATCAGCAGCGGCCGAAACAACAGCTACCAAACGAAAAACGGGGTATGTCTGCTCCGCCTGATATCCTCCGCTGCCGCTTGACTCCCTCCGTTGCTTCTGCTCGATCGTTATTGTAGGCAACGCGGCTGTGGCTGCCACTGAAAGACATTCAAGAGCCGGCCGAAGGCGGCTTCAGCGGCGAGCAATTTCATTAGAAGCAAGCTATCATGGGTAACTTTCCCAACAGCAACAGAAACAGTATTAACTGGTATCGCACCGTTTATGTCCGCCGATATCTACGTTCGGTCCGTACTAGAGGACACAATAGCCACTGGCGTTACTATTGTTGTTGTTTTGGTTTGGTTATTGTGGTTAAATTTACAGTTGGCGAACTTAAGTTATTCAGTATAGTACCATTCCGGGTATGATATGATATTACTGCTGCAGTGCCCTTTAACGCAGATGTCGATAGTACTGCTCTATATATATATATAATTCAATTATACCGTTTTCTCTGCCATTGTTCTATTAGCAACGACAACGCAGCGGTTGATTCCGCTAGCGTAACCAATACCAGCGACTTCAGTTATCGCGGCCGCTTTCTGCTCTTCGCTCAGGTGACACCAGCTCAGAGGATTCACAGTTATCAGATGGCAAACGACATTTCTATCGAAAACCAATAATACCAATGAAAGAACGCAAACATGGATGCGAGCAGTAGGGAGAAACAGCGAAGGAGCTCGTGCCGGCTACAGGGAACGAACGAGCAGCAACAAACTGCATATAATAAATTACTTTATTATGTGATTTGCGATTCAGAGTCGCTCAAGAGCTGCTCAAGATCCGCCCGGTAGTCGGCACTGGCTCTCGATCGGATCCTAACAGCGGCCTGTTTGTTCTGTTACTACTGTGTTCGCTCTCTGGGACGTGAGAACGTTATTTGTCGCTTGGCTGGCTGACTGACTGTTCCCAAAGCAGCAGTGATATGTTGAAGTAGAAGCACTTACTGGTGCTCAGACGTACCTGGTCCAGCCCTGTGACTGTTCGAGGGCCATCGGGCCGTCAGGCCATCAGTGCTCGATTCAGTCTTCTCTTGTGCTCGCCAACAGACGAACGTCTTGGAGGGCAATTCGTCTTGTGCCTGTTCGGTCCGACGCAGCAGCGTCATCACCACTGCTGCTGTCTTGATCTGTTAAAACAGTGCAGGCCCAAAGGCACAGGCACATGGTTTTCCATTTAGTTTGCCACTCCGTCAACCGAACCGCTAGCCTTCCTTCCATCGTGTACCAAATGTCACTTCATTTCACTTCGTCTTCTTCATTTTTCGCCTCTGCTTTTCGGCTGGATTACCCGCACACAGAATGTGGGCATGTTAGCTTATGAACCTGTGAACAGTACGGGTCGGCATCGAACGGCGGATTGCACCGGTCTTGCCGTAAAGGCGCAGTTGTCCTTTTTGGACAACGTCGTCCCATCGTTGCCGAGTAAACGGGGAAATTACTAGAGAGTTAACCTGCAGAGTTACCGAGATCAGAAATGCCATCAGTATGTGGCTAAAGCGAGGCACTCCCATTGAGAGTTCTTCGATGTCTCCTGTTTTTCTCTCGGCCCTGTACGCTTTTCCGATTTGCCGTGTATGAATCTAAGTGTATGTGTGTGTGTGTATCGCTCTCGTGACTACACCGACTGCGTCCAGTTACCCGAGTAATTTCAGTTGCGTCCATCTCTCGGAGCTAATTTTGCTCTTGCAGCAACGAAGGAAGAGGAACAGAGCGGTCGGGTGATGCCTACTTATGCGTGAGCGCCATGTCATGAGCGCCAGAGTTGTGCTCTACTCTTGGCACTTTATCCTTTTGTGGATGACCAGGGCTCACTGCGTTTTTTTGCCGCCGTTTGTGGCACTGCTGCTGCTATTGGGCCGGATGGTGCTATGTCGTTTCACGTTGTCGTGAGCCCCCGATGGGCGGCGTGGGGCCTTCGTGGCATTAATCACTGGCGCTAAACACCCGTTTCGTGGACAACTTTGGCTATAGCGACAACAACAGAAACAGCAGCTACAACAATAATGATGCTAGAACAATAACGACAAAAACAATAACACATGGCATCCCGTATATAGAAATAGTTTCATGTCAGAAAGTTTGAATACTGGTAAATTACAGCTGTACAGGTTACGGCGAGGATGAAAGAAGTCGTTCGCACCCGCCGCCGGGTACTTGCTGATTTTTTGTACAAAATTGTGCTTTTAGTTGGGAAGGTTAGGCGGCAAGTGAAATATTTGACAAATTAATAACCTATTTTGCACGCCTTTTACAGGTCAGGAAAGGTGTCTGCTAACGCCTCCGCAGTCACCGGAACTTCATCCAGCGTTTCTGCATCTGCATCGCCAATCACCAAAATATCATTTGACAAGTTATTCTCCTGCGTCTTCACCGCCGCTTGTCCATTCCTCTGCTTTTATGCCCATCAATGCGTCTAACCCACCTAAAGCTGCAGGATTTGTTAGCAAATCCCAGTCAGCGACATCGAATGCTTCAAAGCGGTTTAATTTTGCAAAACTCGCGGAATCTGCTGTTGAGGATAAGGTCGTACGTAACACACCGACCACCCCTAATGAATCAATAGTTACATCGGCGTTCCACGCAATGCTCCAAAAGAATCAAGTGGTCAATCTGTTCCGACAAATTTACTCACAGCAGCAACAACTACAACATAGAGGCCTTCAGGAACGTCGTCACCCTCGACACGTACTCGAGCCACATCGTCAGGCCCCACTCCAAGCAAAGGTGTCCTCTGTTTTGGGTTCAAAGAAGGAGACGGGCTCCGTATCACGACCAAAGAAGGAGTTCGTATGCCGCTTCTGTCAGCGCCGCTTCACGAAGAGCTACAACCTCATGATCCATGAGAGGACCCATACGGACGAGCGGCCATACAACTGCGATATTTGTCATAAAGCCTTCCGTCGACAGGATCATCTCCGAGACCACAGGTAGGCAGATAAACAGGCATAAATGATAAGTCTTACTCGTACACGCACTAAATGCCAAACATTTCTTCTGTTTCTGTTTCTACCCGATTTTATCATAAATTTCCTTTCGTTGTGAAAAGTGTCATTGAGAAGTCTGACCCTAATATTGTTTCTTTCGTGGCTTGCTATCTGGGCGGAAGTCTATCGAAATGTTTAGTAGTATATAGAGAGTGCCAGTGGCAGAAGCCACGGCAGCGGTCAAAGTAGCAGGACGAACGCTTAATTTAGGATTTAACTTAGGATTAATCGTTCATTTGATGAATTCTTTACATCGCCAAAGCGCTTCTGGTATGCTATTGCTTTCGCGCTCCTGCTAAACTGTCTGCCAGCTAAAACGAACGTAGCAATTAGTGAATAGCATCAGATCTTTCGACGATGTTTTTCGCTGCGGCGACTGTTCTTTATGTCGCTTCTAGCTGCGTTTGCTGATACGGCAGATGCGGCGTGTTAACGGTATAACGGTTTCTACCGGTATCGGCGCCACAATCGCTTTGAGACCTTGGGCAGTAACGTCCATATTCGGTTAATGTCTTGGCCGGACGAAGAAAGCTACTGCGCCCTTCGCCGACACTGTTACTGGTGATGCTTCAAGGCAATGCATCATCCGCCACCTTACGACGAATTGATTATTCCTACATTTCTTCCCATTAAAATCCCAATGGGAATTCAACCTCCTGCCTATCACAGTGTTCCCCCTCGCCTCTCTCTCCCTCCCTCCCTCTATCTCTCTCTCATTTGTACTTCCCATGTTTCCGGTTGTCCCGGTGCTTCCCGTCTCCTGGTGATGGCATTATTGATTCACGGAGGTCGCACGGGTCGATAGGATGAGCAAGCGCATTAGAGAAATAGCAGGGCCGTCGATGTAGCGTGCCTCGATTCAGGAACATCATTGTCGAAATAGCATTAGTTAGAAGTATCCGACCCAATACCTCCAGTGTGCCTCCACCCATCCGTAGCCGCCCACTCGTCATAGGTTAGGCGCACCAATCTGCGCTCCTGTCAATGACGAAGACAGGCTCCGTCACGGCCAGACGGCTCCGTTGAACCTTTTTATGCTGGCATTAGGTTTGACGCACACTCGATAAAGAACTGGCGTCAAATCATCAAAGGTCAAATCGTCATTTTCTCCCTTCCGTTGTCGTGCGATTCCGGTCGATGAGCGTCGTTGATCCTAACGTTCTTTCCCGTTTTATGTTTATCGCTTCAGGTATATTCATTCGAAGGAAAAGCCATTCAAGTGTCATGAATGCGGCAAAGGTTTCTGCCAGAGTCGCACTTTAGCTGTCCACAAAATGCTTCACATGGACGACTCACCTCACAAATGTCTTCAGTGCGGCCGTACGTTCAACCAGCGTTCAAACCTCAAAACGCACTTGTTAACGCACACTGATATAAAGCCATACATTTGCGAGCATTGCAGTAAGGAGTTCCGACGCAACTGTGACCTCCGGCGACATCTGCTCACGCACGGGATTAAATCCGACGAAGTCTCGGATGATTGTGACGACTCAATGGATGAGACGCTGGATTCGGTCTAAACGTGAAGCGTTTCGCAAGCCGACGCAAATGCCAATATTAAAATGGAACCCTCTGAGGCATCACATCGTCCTGGGTATTACTCACACTCGAATGAGCGCAATTTAAAGCAAGTCCGTTTGAACAGAGGACGAGTTCCATCGAACAGAGATAAAGTGTAAAAACTGTTATTAAATTTTTGTATTATACATGTATTCGACCGAGCTCGTTGACCGACGACTGAGCTTATTGTTGGATGCGTTCATGAAACTTTACTATAGAGCGTTTATGATAAGTCAACGCTTCGAAACGTCCCATCGAATGTGTTAGTCCGGTACCTTTTCACGATCTCTGGATCGCTTCTGTTGCAACTCATGGGCATCATAAGGTGGATAGTCTATATTCCTTTAGTATGGGCGCCCACGAGTTCGATCTCGACCATGCCCCCACTTAATTTTCTAGCCAAAGTCTGCCTAATTGAATCACTCAAGGAGGAAACAGCGAACAAAGATGACACGGAATGAGACTGTCAAAAAAGTTAATTGTTTATAATTCATAATAAAATTTTACAAACTTTTCTCTCATACACAGAAAGATCAATGTTAGTATTGAATACTGTTCTGTGACAATTTCACATGTGCGATACGACTTGTATATAGAGAATAGATATATAGTCTAATAAATCACTGAAATTTCACAACTAAGCAAAAATACCTGCAAATCATTATTAATTAGGTAGCTAATCGTTAGACCTATTTTCATAGGAGTGTTACAACCGAGAATCACAGGTCCATTTCTCAGAAACCATTATAGATTACGTATCCGCCTACCTATGCTCGTCTGAAGTCTTAAACTAAAATCAGCCTGGGCTGACGAGAAAGGAATCGTCCTCTACTCAGTTAGTGGACATTTCTATAACTGAGAAATAGCCAAAAGTTGCCATTGCATTCATTTCAATTTTTCCTGTACAGGGCCTAGCAGGACATGTTAATCTGAGAAATGTTGCGGTCGGTAGCGGTCTCAAAGTAACGAACTGCCTATCTCACGGTCTATTTACTAAAGCCTCACCCTGAATCCTGCAGGGCCCTCGAACTGCTGTTGGAATAAGATCTAAAATATATGCCGACGACCTATTCCGAAATAAACAAAAATTAACATGTGTACTTATCGGCCAAGGAGCGATTAACTCAATTGCATCCTGGGCGCAAAATGATCTTATGTACACTACCAGTAATTAGAAGGAATACGGACGACATTGTGTACCTTCTGGATGGCAATGAGGTTTCGTAAGTATTGCGATATAAACATTAGCTATGATTTTCGACGCCGATCTCAGGTCCAAATTATACGTTAAAGCAGCTTTACGATTATTCAGTCTCGGTAGCTTTTATCTGACAAAATTTTAGGTAATCCTAAATGGTTGTGGTGTGATCTCTATGTCATCATCAAAATATCGATACTTACAAAATGTTCAGGACCGTCTTCTAAAACAAGCAGCGTGTAAATGTAGTTAGTGTCTCCTGTTATGGAGCCTGAAAGCACTGCATCCCTCTACAGACAAAATGGTCTACGTGTGCCTTGCAAGCTATGTAAGGACGTCGGTTCATATTTGTTTTATCAGCACTCCAGAAGCTCTTGGCTTGGTTAACAATTGGTTTTCCCTAGGAGGTACACGACTAGTGCGCGAAGAACCCGCCCTATACCATTATATTGTAAATACTTTGCTGAACCCTTGAATAAGGTAGGCTTTGTATTGCACAGTATTATAGAGCTTACAATGAAGATAGCAGTCGGTTCTGAAATTTAACGAGTGATAACGAGGAGGGTTTCGTCAAATTGCGAGTATTTACTCGATACTCTATTATTTACATTCAATAATGAGTTAGCCGTTGTTTATTCGAAGCGGATCGACGGGAATTTTTTGATGCCGGTTTGCTAATTCGAGCCTACTCTACGAACTATTACAGGAATACATTTTCCGCTTTATAGACAGAGTCTTAAAAACATCGTACTCGACTGTTGTGGCACCATGATGGCCTCAATCAACGATCTGTGTGGATATCGCACGACGTAAAATCCCTGTCAAGCGGGTATCGTTAGGTTTTACGACGGATAACTAGAGCATGCATATAAACCTATATATATATATTTTTGATAGTTGCGAAAAGCGAGACAAAATTCGGGTACATCGTCGTTCTAGCATTTCTTGTATACATTTCTCCCCGAACACCCGGCCATGGCGTTAATCTCGAATCTCAACTCAAACTGCCTGCTACAACGAGATCACAATATCTGCTGCTTTTCCTCAGTATACACAAGAATCATATAATATGCGCGTCGTTCAACTGTCAATTGGGTGACTGCTCTTTCCAGTCGGCGTGACCACTCGAGCCACAGTACCTTCTTCTCCGATCAGGGGCAACGTCCATCGCTCTGAACCGCGGTGGTTTAAACATCATCAGAGATATGATAGGCAATCTCTACCAGCAGCAGTATAACGTCACGTGGGGGTCTGCTTATGATCAATTTGCTCCTAGTGCACTTTAGCTTTTGCTGCTACTGTCGCAAATGAGGTCGTATGCGTGTGTCTTTCTGTAGGTATGTGTGTATGCAAGATTAAGGTAGACCGGGGCAGAATGCTTCAGGTATGAGTGGTTGTGAATCACTATCAGTATATCCCACGTACATTCCCCTCCTTGATTTGTGGACCCAATCTTAACCTGCATAGAAATTATGCAGCCCTTTCATTCATGATCCCAGCTGGCAGCAACATGCATTTTAGATACAGTATATTGAAGTGTAGTTATTTTTTGTATCACGTACTTTACCCATGATTTGGACTACGTAAATATGAGGTAGAAACGGTGGTGTGTGATTCCGAACGTTAATATCCTGTATAACAATCGTATGCCATCGAATTCCAGCCTAAAGTAAAAAATAAGACGGGAATGATCGCCATTCGCGACAACGTAGCAGTACAAATTCAAAGCTCAAATGTTCCATGTTTTCTCTAGGAACTGGCAACGCTATGGCTACCGAATACACCTCTCTGTCATACCCCCCACTCGACTATCTCTCTGTAGACTTCGTTCGCCGCATTATTGACAATGTGCATTGTGTGACGAGTCCTATGGCTCCTTCCTCTGTGGGCATTATTGTGTGTTTGAAAGCACTCAAAGCTCCACCTCCCTTGCCAACGAAATAGCAGTCAAACATTACACACCCCATGTGAGTGTACAACAGCAACTAACACAATATCAACAACAACGACAGCACAAGCAATAAGGGCTCTGGGAGGGAAGGATCGATTGTGGAAAGCCGCCTGCAAATATCGCACTCGAGCACGGCGCTCTACTGTATAGTAAAGGCAGTCCTTACTCATCATGGCCACACTCACGCAATCGGCCACGGGTCGCATGAAGGCGTAGCATATCATTATTATCAGAAGGAACATCCGGTGTTTCCCTAACAGCACTCAGATCGAGGTTCTCTCCCAAGCAAGCGCGCGATTGGAGGAAAAATGCAGCAGGTAAGGTTTTGAGCTAAACAGGACAGCGAGCCTGCCTGACTTAGGGTCGCACAATTGGTAAACCCAATGCATTTCCAAAAGCGGTGCTGACGGCGGTGCCCCGTCAGCCTGCGACGGGCACTTCTATGTGGGTTGAGGGCTTGGTTGATTCTGTAGGCAAAAAAAAAAGTAAAGTCCTTGCAGAGGTGTTGTGTTTATTTACAGAGATGGCAGAACCGATGACATCCTACAGTGGAAATGATAGCAGCTTTTCGACCTCCGAGTCAACTGTTCAATGTCTTTTTAGCAGTCGGTGACCAATTAGGTCAGGGTATCTCAGTCGCAATAGCTATTACATCAGGTATCAAGAAATATGTTGGGTAGGACTGATCTAGGCTAACACTACAAATATACAAGGTACATATATAGTACGGGGGGTTATGTTATGCAGAATAAGAGCTTATTTAGAATTTGCTACTAGGTTATTTCGTAGCATGTTCTTTGATAGATCCATGGTGTGACTTCAAAGATGGATGCTTTGGTGTCTTCCCATAGCCCTCTACACACCGATAGAGACCGTCACTAATTCGATAATCCAAAATATATCTTTTATATAATGGAACGACGAGATATAATTTAAGTGTTTATTTTTTTAACGATTTTTGATACGTTATGTCAACACGATAGAAATTTTTATACAAAAATGTAGAGGCATTTAGTGTGTAAGCTCGATCGTAATATTCATTTGAAATGTAGCAAGCCAGATCACGCGGGCCAGTCATGCGAATGGCTTTATAAAAGGGGCATAGCATGCTGTAGCCTCCTTGACTTATCCTCAGTTGTAAGAAGCCTACATTATCGTTCACCGTTTGAAACAAACAGATGTTTACATCCTTTCTAAACCTTGAAAAATCTATATGAGCGACTATATGTGAATGAACGAACGAACGAACGAACGAACTATGCGATACCGACAGATGCTTCTGTGACGCCACAGGCAAAACATGATGAAACCTATGTTAATTCACTGATCACTATGACTCGAGGAACTCTTCGAGCGTTCGAAGGCTTTCAGGTGCAATTCTGCTGTAAGATAGCAAACCGGATACATTCCGAGATGGCCGGGCAACGTTTGGGGCCATACCCCATAAAATATCAACTGCTTGACAAAGGTCCAACAACGATCAACTACTGAGACATCGTGAGTACGCATGAGAGAAACTCGGAAACATCCGCAGGCGATATTCACATCTCTACGTAAGGACCAGCTCCTCCGTCAATGCGCATAATTCAAATAGCCTATAACAAAAAAAAAAAAAAAAAAATGGTCATATAATTTTTTAATCTACAAAATTGCTTCTAAATTGTTATATCTTGCGCATCCGGAAGCACAATGTACAAGTATTATTATGATTTACTGATGATCTAAAACCATAAAAAGATACAAATGTCATTTAGACATGTGTATCCTCACTATTATATTATTTTTCTCTGCCCAGACTTTTTTCTCTTCTGAAATTATCTATTTTACACAAAGTTATTGCATGTCGCTGTATTAGGCTGGGTGCAATACCAAACGATCTACTGGCTGTATTCAACGATTTGGGAATGACAGATCGATGTTCGAGAGGATTGAAAAAAACAACAGGCGAGAAACAAGACGAAGGCGCAACACTATAAAAGCAAAAACGACTATCTAAAATGTCCTTAAATGAGATAAACAATTTCAGGCAGCAGCAGCAGCAGCAGCAGTAGCAGTAGCAGCACAAGCACACGCTAAATTGTGGTACCACCCAAAGCGTCATCATTTCCGTCGTCAGTGGCTGTTACGACAGACCGCAGGACTTCGGTCCGACAGAAGCTACATACAAAAGGACGTTATCGGTCCCTGTGTTCTTTATAGTTGCCGTTATTTCTGTATATATTGTTGCTCGTTACGTCAGTCAGCCAGTCCTACAGAGCGCATTCGCTCTACCTGTACGAAACATTGATTGTCTTGTACTCCGGCATACTCTTGCCTCCCACACCCGCAGGTAAAACACCATCGGCTGACCCAAGCGCATGGCCAAACACCAACAATAAACGATTACGAAAGGAACGGGTCCGTCACAGCAAAAACTATCGTCACCAATACCATGAGTGGACGTCACTGAAGACACAATATCTGAGGTCACTAGTTATTCCT